AGAAATGGAGTTGCTAGCTGCGAGTGGAATAGTACAGAGTTGAAGGTGGGTTTTAAGTTGTTCTCTCAGCACATGAGGGCAGTGCTGTCTTTTTTAGGGGGGTCGAGTGTTAGCGGGAGAGAAAAGGAGAGAAGAGAAGACGGGAATGCTGCATTTAGCAAAAGGGGTGAGGTGCAGTCCTTAGAACAAAATTTTAGGGGGGTCGTATGAATGTTTTCTCAGCACATGAGGACAGTGCTGTCTTTTTTTAGGGGGGTCGATTGTAATATCCAGAAATTTCAGAGTAATTTCAAATGCCCCGCCATGAGTGATACTGAGCGTTCAAGGTCATCTGGGGGGAGGGAGCGCTGCCTGCTCGTAGCGAGAGACTGCGGAACTAGGCCTATATGATATTAAATGTAATTTACCGAATTAATAATGATGCGATTCATGAAGTTAAGGGACTATTATTGAATTTGAAATTATTATAGATCGTTTAGCAGTCTGAATAATGTTACGGGTGTCCCAAGGAGTTATTAGTTAGGCGGTAAATATATCACGTAGGCCCAAGCTAGCGCCTTGGGGAGACACGACGCTGGCTAGCCCAGTCCCGGAGAGCAGTCACACAGACAAGACGTTCCGCGCGTCCATCAGAAATAGTCACGTGGCCTAGTCACCTGTGCTGCGCTATTGCAGTATAACAAGTAAGTCTCATTCGATCTCAGACAGGGTTAGATAGGGCAGTGATAAAGTAAACTAGAGCTAACAGTGAGTTCATTTCAGGGTTTCCGTCAGAACCCACTTGACTGGAGTTGACTGGAGTTGACTGGAGTTGACTGCGAGAGATTGACTGCCGTTGATGATTGAGGGTGGCGATTGTCGCCATTGGACCGATCAGTGTAGGCCTGTCACTGTTTAGCGGGGTAGCAAAGGATCTCTTGAGTGAACGAGTGCTCCCGACAACTAAAACGACACGGGACCAGCATCAGCAGTGGGTGATCAGTTCTTACCACTCCGGTGCACAACCCCACATGTCCCGAGCAGCTAGTGAAACCCTCTTGCTAACGGGAAGCTAAAGTTTCTCTCAACTGTACAAGGTCTGATTGGCTCACTCCCTTCGGCTTTATGGACGCACTGGGAGTACACTGAGGCTATCTGAGTAAACTAATGGTCACACACTGAGACCGTGAGTCTAGGTCTCTAGGAGATACCTAGAGGAACATTTTCCCTCCCTTATTACGGGTGTAGTTAACACCATTCCTCAGACTGATATTATCTTGACGTGTGTAGTTTAATAGTTTCTAAATAATTTTGATAATATTGTTTTGAATGTTTGTGCCATTAAGTGGAACCAGAGTGATACTGTGATTTGATTCTTTTAATGCCTCTAATTCTTCATAATTCTGATCTCAGGTATAACCTTGTTCCCCAGAGCAGTGGTTAGGTTAGGTTAGGAAGTGTACACCTGTTGGGGTGCTATAATTTTGTTGAGTGATATTATTTTGCTGAAAGCCCTTAGGGCCTATTCATTGTAGAGTATTTCATTTCTTATCTTTTATTACCATTCCTCAGTGACTGATATTATTTTGTTGAAGACCCTTAAGGCCTATTCATTGTGGAGTATTTAATTTCTTATTTTTAGTACCATTTCCTAAGTGACTGATATTATTTTGTGAAAGCCCTTAAGGCCTGTTCATATGTGCAATTAACATTTCTTAATACTTTAAATTTATTGTTGCCTGTGTTTCTAATAATTTCTATGTCATGTATAACTTTTATTCCCCAGAGTAGTGGTTAAAGTTTAAGTTAAGAGGTGCGCATATTGGTGTACCATTATTTGATTGTGTTTGTAGTGTTGGAGGGAATATAAGTGTCTAAATTTTACAGTGTGTCTCATTCATCCCAGTCACAGACGCTATCCTTCCACGGGTCACGGACAGTTCATTTTGTATAGTAGATTTAAGTGTTCTTGTGCTGGTTCGGGATTTTTCTCAAAGGGGCGCTTCCACTGCCTTTACCATCTATTAAATTTTAATAAACCCCAAGTCAAGTGAGAAATTAAAGTCCAGCAAATTCCGACCGGTTACATATATATATATATATATATATATATATATATATATATATATATATATATATATATATATATATATATATATATGCAAATAAATCACTGTAGGTGCGCGTGATCCAGGTATATGCTGATAACCACAAGGAAGGAAGAAAACACGAAGTTCCCAAGCGCTTTCGTGAAATTCACATCTTCAGGGGTGATTACAAACTAAGTAGAAGTTCAGAACAAGTTTTATATATATAGAGGTCAAGTATAGGTGGACTTGGTCTCGCCACTGCTGCCAACTTTGTTCTGAGCTTCTACTGAACACTCACCCCAGTGGCAATTACACCCAAAAAGCTGAGGCACTGCGTGTTTTTCACCGCTGACAATTATCAACATATATATATATATATATATATATATATATATATATATATATATATATATATATATATATATATATATATATATATATATATATATAGATATATAATGCATCACTCGCCTCTGGTTACTTCCCATGGAAAATCAAAACAGCACGCATACAAATGTTTGCCGATGACGCAAATTTATTTATGGAAATCAAGAACCAAGCGGACTGTGAAGAGCTCCAGAAGGATCTCTGTGAGCTCCAAGAATGGTCGAAGAAATGGCTGCTGAGATTCAATGTCACGAAGTGTAAGAGGATGTACCTGGGGCGTACCAACGGTAAGGAGGCGTATCATATGTCCCAACGGGATGAAGAAACTGCACTATTTGATACTGAATGTGAGAACGACCTACTGTAGGTGTGTATGTTGACAATGAGCTGAAGTTCTCGGGCCAATTGCGAGAAGAAGGTAAATCAGGCAAATAAATTATTGGGTCTTATAAGAAGGCCGTTCAGATATCTAGACGGTCCGTCCCTCGTAACGAACTTCAAGAGTGAAGTGCTTCCCCATCTGGAGTACTGTCACCCCATCTGGTCCCCGAGATATGCTAGTGACTGTCAGTTGGTTGAAAATGTTCAAAGGAGGGCCACCAGACTGGTGCCTGCACTTCGGCACCTTAACTACCCTGAGAGATTGGAGTGCCTGAACTTGCCTAGCTTATCCTACAGACGAGCAAGGGGCGACCTAATTGAGGTGTATAAGCATCTCAGGGGGCACTACTCAGATAACTGAGAGGGCAAACTTTTTCGGAGTGAGAGTTGTGAACTCTTGGAACAATCTACCAGAAAGTGTTGTGGCGGAACCGAGTGTGAGCTCTTTCAAGACCAGACTTGACCAACACTGGAGCAGGTTCAGGCACATTCAGGAGCCAGTGCATGCCCAGTACTTGCCAACAGTGCGTAACAGAGACGTGACGATCGCCCAAGCGGCTAACGAGCTGATCAGTGGTGAAGAGGATAAAAGTAAAAGAACAGGTATAACAAAACACATTACACAACGCAAAATGCTTGCTCAATCACAACTCTCAAAATTACGAAGATTCAGCAAAATGGAAACCAACATTCAACTACGCCTATTCAAAGCACTTGTACGCCCCCACCTGGAGTACCCACTAATTTCACTCAGCACGATCAGCAAAACCAGTCAACTTAAACTTCAAGCAGTAAAACACAAAGCTATCCGTAGAGCATCAAATAAATTTTCCCCATACACCACCAAAATTCAAGTACTTCACGAACTATGCAATATCGAACCACTGAACACACGTACACACAGCCAAGCTCAGGGAGTTTGGAGCAAACTTGAGGAGTTGGAGGACCCAATCTTCTCCCAGTTAAAAGAACATACCAGAAGAACACACAGCTGGTGGCCCAAGAGCCTCCATGCTAACAAAGAAGAACCAGACACACTTTTATAGATATATGTGAACAAATAATACCACCATTTAACTAACATAAATTAACACACATTACACTAATGAATGTCTAGCTAGCTTAGCTCCACCCCTCCTCAGAGCGACGGGCACGTGTTGTGTATGGCCACCACCCCAACCAATCGCCTCGACTCAGCTAGGTCAATAGCCCACCTGCTATTACTCCCTATTACTTTACTTCCCGTTTCTATTCTTTCCTTCTCTCTTTCCTCTCCTCTCTCATGACGAAGTCAGTTGCCACTTTACTTCATATTTATCGTCATCATCATCATCATCATCATACCTGCTGTCAATCTCCCACTTTATTTCCCACTTCCTAACTTTACCTTCCTCCTACATCTTGCAACTTCGGGGCCAACGGCTCTCTCCTCTACATCTCAACAACAACAACGAAGGATCAGTCGAACGTTTATGTTCAGAGTGTGAAGTACAAGCTTAGTGACAGCTAAAAATAATTGTTGTTCAATTATTGTGGAATTGTTGTGAGCGATATAAAGTGAAAAGACTAAGGAATTATACACTGGTAGTGTGCTGACTGTACTCGTATATTTTCGAAGTGAGAAGACCAGTGATACGGACATACCCTGTGAAGTGTTATACAGATTTAAGTGCTTATTAAAGAGGACTACAGCTTACAAGTGTGTTTCAGTGACCTGGTGGAAATCTAGCTGCCTGTTGTTTTATCTGTACATTTATATCGATCGTCGGGAAATTACCGGAGACTGGCGGGACTGCCAGGTGTAATTCGACGACATTTGTGATATATCTATTGCTTCTGTATATACAGTACGACCTTGCTGCTGGTAACCCGTGGTGGAAGCGGGTAAGCGGCGAGAAAGGGGGTTCGTAACGCTAATAATAAAATCATGGCCTGTCTTCAACACGGGGTAGGAAAACAATCGAAATTCTAACTTTGCAATAAGAATGTTTCCCTTTTAAATGTAAATTGAAACAAAGTGAATGAAACTCTGGCTCTATTTCAGCAATTTGGGTTAAAATTTTAAGAAATGAAGAAGCATGAAAATTGTGCCCCTCTCCTACGATAAATATAAATGCCTTCCCGCTGTCCACTTTCTCACCCCCCCCCCCTCTCATCGCTCACCAATAGCAGCCATACTAGTGACGGTAAAGAGGAGAGACTTGGAATAAGTCCAATCCTGATCCCATGCGTTCAAATCGCCATCGTATTGGATGTTGGAATCCGAAGCCTTCTCCACGACAAACCCAGTGAACCTTTCGAGGGTGTTTCTGACCTGCGGGAGGAAAACAGAAGAAATTAATTTCTTTTGCTTAAATATGGTTTAGCCATGTTGGGTTAGGTGACACTCTAATCATAAATTGATGCTGTAATACTATTGGATGGGATTCAAACCCTAGTGACTTAGGTCACTGAACTATTCAAAAGATGAAACTTTGAGTTACAGTATTGTTTAGTAGCTTTATACTATGTAGTGACTATGGTTGTGGAAAAGTGAAATGATAAAAAGGATGGTGCAAGAGCATGTGGTAAATGTAGCTGCTCAAACTCTCAGTTAAGCTGTTAAAAAGACTATGTTTTTAGAGCCAAACATTTTTACCTACCTATTGTGGACCATAACAGAATGAAAGGTTGCAAGTAAGAATTAAAGGTAAATGGATCCTGGTTGATGGCTAAATTAGATTGAGCTGAGAGAAATATTCTTAAAACTGAATAAAGAGCTAATAAAATAAGAGGCGTTATTCAGCGGAAGCTATACTCTGGTTCTGACAGTACAATACTGTACCTCCCAGAGATATAGGATCAAGCAGGTCATGGGCCCCTTCCCCGGGCAAGGGTGGCAGTAAAGTACGTTGCGGTACGGAAAATTTTTCCCCAGTACGGTACGGCACAAAACTGTACGGTATATTTTCCATACCAACTTATTTAGAAAAAGACTAATAATTATGGCTATGTACGTGAGGTCTTATGTGTTACTTGTCAACTCAGGTCATCATCAGAGACCAACAGGGTCTTGTTCTGGAGCTCTCCTCCTCTGGGGGTAATACAACATGTAGATGTGAGACCATGAAAGTGCCTGTAATCTTATTTCATCTATTGTTTATCTTATATTTTGGCAATAATTTATTCACCAGTTTTATGAGTAAATATTAGGTGATACTTTTGTGAACGGTAGAAGAGCTGTATTACGAGATTAAGAAAGATAAATTACTAAATTACTTGGGTCACAGGACCATGAAGTGTTATTGTTTATGCTATTGTTTTGCTGTAAATATAATAAGTGTTGATTAATATTAATTAGTATTTCTTTGATTCCTGACTCACTTTACACAATGTAGTGAATAGTTTCCTTGGATGTATTCTCACAGTGTAATTATACTAAATGTCATCTTCAATTGTCAGCAGGAGATAGCAAAGGGGTGTCTACATGATTCTCGTCTGTTAACCAAAGCTTTTATTTCAGAATGTAAGTCTGATTAATGGGCGTAGGGGTTGAAGCACTGCTGAAAGAGGAGAATTACTCTGTAGTTGCCGTGACAATATAATTAAGTACTGACCATCATGTTGTATTCCTTGGCGTCAGTGATCTCTTCAGACTTGAACCAGAGGAATGATATAATGTAGTTTATGGCGTCATCCACGTCCATCGACACCCGCTTCTTCGCCAACCTGCGTTTGTTCTCGTTATCCGTTTCTAAGTTGATGTACAAGTACGCTCCTGTGGACACACTTATATATATTCACTTCCTTAAACCCGTACCTCTCAAAATGGGGTAATTATTGACTGTTCCTGTTCCTGTTAAAACTATAATTATTATTGTTCCTCTTATATGTCAAAATGACGTAATTATCTCCCCACCCCCACCGTAGAGAGACTGAGAAAATATGTTCAGCTGACAATAG